TGCCACTTCCATAAATACCTTTTCTCACCTTTTATTGCCACAAATTGTGATTGTCCAGTGCCAAAATGGGAAATCCAAGGCAAACATGTGGAAAAGTTAAGTTTTTAACTTTTTTTGGCCACCAAGATACTTTAAGAACAGTTTAGAGCACTAACGTTTTGTCACTCTGACAGCGCTTCTAAACCTTGAAACAATACATGGAGGATTTAACCTTTCAGGTATTCTTTTAAGTATGATGGCTCACATCTGGATATGATCAAGTCATAACAAGATACTCATCATGACAGTTAAGGATAACAGATACAGCATACTGCTGGAGCATAAACTTTTAAACTAAAAGCTCACTGAAACTCACATTGCATCTTTTCATATTGTTCTAGACTGTTGCTTGGATTAACAGATATCATTACACTTCTAAGATCAAAGTCTTACTGTTAATACTTCCTCAAAAACAAAAGTGAGAAAATTACCTTTGTTTAAATGAAAATGTAGAATTTAATAATGACAGCTGGAACACCATACCTAAGTATGGAACAGTGCATTTAAAGAAAGAAGAAATAGGAAGAGTTCAGATGAAAGCATCAAGAATTAATGATCCAAAGTGCCAGAAAAACAAAACAAAACAAAAAAACCCTAAGATTTTATTTCTCTAAGTAAGAAAATAATAAGTTGGGATTGTTTGAGAGATGAAAACAATTAAAACATGATAAAGGAACTTCAATATGAAAGTTTCCTACAGGAAGCAAAATAAGTTCCCTGTAATCCCAGTGCAAATAAATAACAGGCTAAAGTAACATTCAGCAAGTCAGGCTTCCTATCAGAAATCAGGAAAACATTTTAATGGCAAGACTAGTGGAACACTGGAATAGATTATTTCAGTAAGTAATCACAACAAATCTTTAAGGAGAACAGTCAGGCAAGCACCCATTAAAACAAACTTCATTGATCTTGGCTTTGAAGAAAGAATGAGGGTGGATATGACACCTCCTTGGAGTCCTTTTCAGCTGTATGATACCAATACCATACATCAGTACAATTTGATGTGGAGTATTGACATGGAATGAAAGTCACATTCTGCAAAAGACTCAAGTCAATTTCTTCATGCAGGTGATCACTTGGTTTCTGATGCAAACATCCAGTTATGTATCACCTAGCTACACTGATTTAGTCTGCAACTTCCTTATTTAATAGTTTAATAATAATTACTTTCAGGATTGGACTATGTATAAGTATGTATAATGTCTAATCCAGTCACAGTATATAGGACTTCACTTGCAAAGAGCAGTGACTCACCAATTGGTTCCAAGGCCTTTAAACCAGACAACACTAGCAACAGTTGATTTGATTCTGAACACAGAATTCCAGATGTGGTCCTTAATGGAAAAGTTCAAAAGGAATTAGCTTCATGTTGTTTCCCTTCAAAATTCTAAGCGTACCCAAGATTCTTAATCCTTTATCTGTGCTTTACTATCTTTTGATTTTGATGTTGTTTGACTTCTTTGGTTGTGGGGTTTTTTTGTTTGTTTGTTTTTAAGTCTAAGACCTTTAATGGTAGATCATTGTTAATAATTAGAGTGACAATCCTGTAAATACCTCATGAGCAAATGTTTACTTCAGAGTAGTTTTTGTAGAGTTATCACAATATAATTGAATAAGCTTCCCTAGATCATCTGTTCTGTTTCTAATAACAATTTTTCTTCAAACAAGAACTCAGGACAAATGTACAGCTACCAACCTGACAAGCCACTAAACATGAAAAAGTAACATTCTCCAATTTCATTTCAACAAATTTGCTACATTTAAATCATCTGATATAACACCAGGTAAATGATAAGAGGAAAAACAAACAAACAAACTTGCATTATACATTATGTTTTGGATGGTGAGAATTGAACTGTTAGATAAACACGCTTTGTAAAATGAAATATAGACCATGCTAACCCAAAATGACACAGCAGCAAAACAGCAAGCATCAGGTGTCGCAAAGTTTCTACACCTAACAAAGTAGCTCCCATTCAAAACATCATCAACTGATAGAAGTTACAAACATCTGTGCTTCAGATACAACCAATATCTTTAAAATACATGGAATCTGCTATAGACAATCGCTCCCTGTTGGTGGGTACGTGATTGCCCTTTTCACAACATTTTAAAAGATGCACAAAGCACGACTCCCCCTCCAACCTCCCAGTAAGAAAAGTTACCAAAAAGACTTAAATAAAGCAGCCGTTTGCCCCTTGGGCAGCCTGTAGTGTACTCACCGCGACGGGTTAGTTTTGGAGACTTTCTTCCCCTCCCCCTGCACAGTAAGGGAGAATGGAGAGTAGTTAAATTTGAACTTCCCTGCTTTTGTTAGCATGAGTCACCACCTTAACATTATCTCAACTGTAGACTTTTATCTGTGAATATCTAAGCCCTGTCTTGTGGAAAACTAATTACTGAGCCACTGAGAGGCTTCATAATGTCCTGCATTTAAGTCCTGAACATCATACATAATGCATAGGAAGCAGTCTCTGCACTCTGATTACAGAACACTGTCATTAAGAGAGCAAATTAAAGATGTGAATAATTCACTGGCTGAGCTTATTGTCAGTGCTGCATTGTGAAATTAGAATTTCTAATAAGTACTGCAATTTTTTTAACCCAATTAACACAGAGAACATCTTGAGTCTGATTAGTACAATAAAAATTATTACCTTATTCTTTTGCTTCACAACAGCCAAATTAAATACTGTACTTAATTATGCATTCATCGCTTCTGCGCTAGAAATAATAACAAAAAAAAAATTCTCACTATCGCTTTAATAAGACTTCCAATATTTAGAATGCAACTGAAAAACAGAGCACACAAATCTCTAAGCACAATTTATATTGCAAAGTTACTATCTTTTTTAAAAGACTTTGCAAATATCAGCAGTCGACCATGATGTCACTGCTGATGTTTTCTTTGGAAACAAAAATGTATTAAAAATAATCCCATAAAATGACACCCCTGAACGAGCTCTGAATATACATTGTGAATTAACTTTCTCCAGGTTGATGTGAAGACAGAGAGAGGAAGAAAAAAAAAAAAAAAAAAAAAGCACCACTTACCGACTAGAAACCAAATACACAAATATATAAACATCCATACATACACTGTTTCAAAAAAAAGATGCTACAGATATACAATGAAAAAACAAGAACTGGATCAGCTCTCTTACCTCAGTTCCCTTTTGGCACGGGATAGATCACATCCTTTCATCCTAGAAAGGAGGAAAGTCCAGTTCAACATCCAGCATGTTGATTTCTCCACACGGTGCCTGCTGCCATGTTAAGTACAGAAAATGATCACTGAGGATGCAGCTTTTGTCTCCAAATATTTTTATGCATCCTTTTAGTGTCCAGGACCCCGGGAACCTTCACACATCTGGCAGCAAACACCACTAGCTGTAACTGCTGCAATGATATTTTCCTCATCCCTATTTCAATTCCATCTCTTATTTCTTCCCCATCC